AACGCAAACAGACATTCAATCAAGCGAGCAATTAAAGCCTAAACAGCCAGCATACAGATTAGAACAGTCAGGACCTTGGAATAAATGTAGACAAAAGTGGGAAATCTACGGGGCAATGTATAGAAGCAGCAAAAAGAGCAAACAATACGCTTGGCATGATAAAAAGGACGATTGTTAACAGAAATAAATCAATAATGTTAAATCTACATAAAACGTTAGTGCGACCTAATTAGAATACTGCCCGCAGACATGGAGTCAATTTAGTGACAAAAAGACAAACAAGTGTTGGAAAAAGTTCAAAGATGGGCAACCCGGTTGATTAACAATTGTTAAAAATTTTCATATGAGGAAAGATTGAAGAGATGTTGGCTGACAACTTTGGACAAACGTAGGGCTAGAGGAGGTCTTATTCAAGCGTAAAAAATTATAACGTGTAAAGTTGAGATAACTTCATCCCTATTCTTTCAATTTACAGAAAATAGAAACAAAAGAGGACACCAGTGCGAGCTTATCAACGAAACTGTAGAACAACAAAAGGAAGATTTTTTTAGTTTGAGAGTTATTGAACATTGGAATAAACTGGACGAAAAAACTGTAACAGCTCCTACAACGAAAAAGTTCAAAGTCAGACTTGGAAGATTAGGATTTTTATTGCATATTATTTGTCAAAATCGATCCAGTTGTTCTCACACAGAGATATATACTGAACCACTATAATCCTTGTTATGTTATGTTATGTTAAATAAAAGTGCCCAGTTGGATGGTTTATCAGTGGAAGGATTTTGGGATGTTTATAGGTACTAACAAAAATTTAAAGATTTTTTAAAACAATATTAGATTGTCTAGGTTTCTATCGTTATGAGGAAGTATATTGTTCCAGATTTTAGAAGCAATATGAGATGGACTATTCTCAATTAAGTTTAATCTAGATGTATCAATGTAAAGAGTATTATTTTGTCAAGTGATAACTGATTTAATTGGATTCGAATATTTGAGAAACGCTGAGAAATATGAAGGCAAATTTTTTTAATAAATTTAAATGTAGATATGGTTCGAAGATATAAATTAGTTTGACGAATTGATAAAATTTTAGACTTAGTAAAAAGTTCTTTAGTATGATCAATAGATTTTAGATTATATGTTGTCCTTAGAAAGCGTTTTTGGCAACTGAGTAATAGTTCAAATAAATTCTCTGGACCGTTACTGTTGCAATAATGTTGCAATAAGTAAGGTGTGGAAGGAAATTATAATTTAATTTAAAAAGCGTAGTCAAATTAATGTTTTAATAAATTTGAAATATATAAAAAATTATGATTTTTTTTTCTAATTGTTAAAATATGATTCGACCATGACAAATTACTTTAAATAGGATTCGCCTAGAAATTTAATTTTGCTAGATATTTTAAGTTGAATGTTATTTAATTTAAGAGATAAATCTTGTATGTTTTTGGATTGTAGGGCCAAAAATTACGTAAAATGAATTATCAGTATTGATAAAAAGCTCATTACTTGAAAACTATGACTCAATACATTTTAGATAAATGTGAATTTTTGCCGCACGGTGAAAACCTTTCTCTGCTCGAACACCAACAGACGCCGTCGCCAGCTTAGGCAGTTTCGTTTTTGGCCGGGACTCGCCCTACTAACCGCTGACAAGACTTCTTCAGACATGTTATAGACGTTGAACGCGACAAACAAAAGCTAATTGAAATAAATTTATTAATAAATAAAAAAAGAAATTAACCTTACGACACTTTGCAAAACAAATGTTTTCGAAATGTTTCCCAACTGAATAATAGACTAAATTGAACATTCTGAATAAAAACCAGTGTGCAACAGCAGAGCAGCAGTAGTAAATAAACGAAATCCAGAAAAAACCGCAGAACAATGTTCAAATTATTACCAATTATCAGAACGACCAAATCCAAACACCCAGGAACCAAACTAATTAACAACTCTCGAACCCTTTTATTCTTTTCTAAAACAATTGCCAAAACACTTATATAGCAAATCAACTGAGAAACCATTCATTCCCAAACATACTCACCATACTCGCGCAACACCATACCAACATTCACATAAAGCCAGCATGCATACAAAACCAGTTCACGCAACATTTTACCAGCATGCATACCAGACCAATCCAAGCAACAAGCGCGCCAAACCAGCCAACATTCGCACACGAATCATTCATTCATATGCGCGCCAAAAAAACTTCACTTCAATATTTAATAAATTGATATCCTCGCTATAAGTTTTCGAACTATAAAAAATATTTGTGTCGTCAGCGTACATCATACATCTAAATAATGTAGATACATTTGGAAAGTCATTAATAAAAATAGTGAAAAAAATTTTAAATGTAAAACATTGGATCTTGTGTTATCAGTGGATACAAATTATTTTCTATTTGACTGGTAACTAATGAGTCAAGAATGGATTTTTCCATGAAATCCATAAAATTTATGTTTAAGTAATAGTACATTAGACATAAAATGATAATAATTATTGTTGAGATTAGCTATAGATAATATGATACTACTACATACTTAGCTGAGCAAGTATTGGCTTAATGTAGAAAGAGAATTGAATAGAAACATTTGGGGGAAAGACATTGATACTATTCAGAGGTTAAAACAGTTGTTTGTATTAGAATACGATCTGCACTTTTGAAGAGATACAACAAATTAATTTGTGCAACGAATTAAATTAAAACAGTGAACATTTGTGAGATAAAAGAATTGAAATATACCATAGAATAAAAGAATCGATAGCGTACTGTAATGGATGTTGTCGTAAAGATAACTCAAAAAAGGATAACCATAAATGATTACTAATGTAGTCATTTATGAACATCTTTCATGTAGAATGTAAGATGCTCATTGAAAACAAAAATAATATATAAATAATGAACTATTGATACAAATGCAGCTCATTTTGTCGAGGACGCGTTGTTTTGAATACCAAGCAAAACAAAAATATAAACAAAATATTACCATGCTACGAAATAAAAGTAACAAAAATCACCTCTCAACTAGCTTAATACATTTTTTTCATTAATTGATGAACACAACTTGGAACTCATGAAATAAAATATGGCATGATTTGTTAGTAGAAATCTCCGGTTTATGATTTTTGTCAAATAAATTATTATGTTAAGATTTTATGAAAATTTGTTGATAACTGATAGAATGATTCTCACAACAAATTGTAAGGTGTAAGTTTATATTTGAGAACATGTGAGCGGGGATGGTCGAATCGTAGAAACGTTTTGTCAGCCAGTGACGTGGGAGTCCAACTTTGATGATTAACTTCTTGCCACAAAATCTTTCAACTAATTCATACTGTTAACATTCTTAATCATTCATTCCAATGTCTTCCATGCTTCCGAATGAAGCGTTGTACAACACAAAAAACTTCCAGTTGCATGAAACCAAAGGAGTGTTTGCCAGTTTCGCCAGTTTCACGACATGCAAAGTCGAAGTTATAAACTTTCGACTTCATCTCTCTAGATTTTTCTATCGACTTAATCAAAACATAATTCAACTCAACAATCAATATTTGAGTTAAATAAAAATGGTACATAGTCGATAGTGGGAATTTTACATAGCTGATTGTAGCAATATGCAAAGCTGATAATAGGAATCGTCCATAAATGAAATAACTTTTTGTACGAAGATGATTCATCATTTTGGAGACAATCAAGAAGAGGGAAACTTGTTCATTATTCCCACTTTTTTAAATTCAATTGAAATCGTTTCCACATTATTATTATTGCTGATATTATTATTATTATTATTACGTATCTTTTTCAAAATTCCCAGAAACATCAGCAACAAACGCACAGTGAATGCAAACTCACTTGAAACAAAGCATCACATAAATTGCATGTGGTAGGCAGGGATCTACTTGCAATCAAATTCGGTCTCTGCAGTTGTAGTGCCAGAGACATAGTATTCGTGCCAGCAGCCGCGGTTAGACGAAAGACCTTTAATAATAAAAATAATAAAAGCCTTTACCGCTAGACTATCGCGCCGCTGCAATCTTGTCAACAGTTCATTTTGTATCATTTCCAATCGAAATGTGACACTATTTTTGGACAATTCCTACTGCGTTTGTATGTTTATGCACATGAGTTTGGGTTCAAAACAAAACTTCATACAGCGAAGTGTTTTTTCTTTAACGTTAACAGTTTAATGAAATTTAACGTTGTCGCTAATTGGATGAACTAGTAAATTTGACAGATATTTCAGTCATGTTTTTATTAAGGGCTTGAAAAGTAATGACACAAAGTAGTTTGTGATCGCATATGCAGTAGTTTAGTTTGTCGGGCGAATATGTGATATTTACATAAAGGTTTCCGAATTGATGCTTTTAAATATTTTGTAATGTTCTAACACTTTTCGTTACAGTGCACGAACAAAAATCCATTACAGTTTGTGTGAAAAAGTGATGAGGTTTGGTCGACATTTTAATGTTTTTATATATTTAATAATGAAATTTTATCGGAATATATTATTCATCATGCAAAAGCATTTTAAAAAATTTATTTCAACTCTTTAATATAGTTGTACGAAAGGCTAAAGTTCATTACTCATTTTCAACGCAAACCATTAAATAAACACTCACCACCACCACCACAACCACTACCATCACCTCCACCACCACAACCACCACCACAATGACTTGACATGACTCCCATCGTAGCGAACTACCCTTCTTGACCAAGACATCGGCAGCGGAGAGATTGGAACAAGCCAGACTCGCACGCAAGAAGCAGCTGGAATCGTACCGCATCTTCGACGGACAGGCAGCGCCAGCCAAACAAAACAGCAAAGTTTTTTCTGCCAGCAAACGCACGAGAAATGTTAAATTTGGTCAGCGAATAAAACTCTTCGAAGCCGTTACCCGGAATGATTTGGATGAAAGTTCGTATACTCCTGCTTCAGTGTCTGATCGTGTTTTCAATAAAAGTATATAAACAGTGTTAAATGCTTTTCATGGCTACAAGAGTTTGTTTTATTCATTTGAAAACAGTTGAGTCATTGCTAAAAAGCGGAGTTGATCCGAACCAAGGCAACGATGATGGCGTGACGCCACTGCATCAGGTTTTCCGCTTTAAATGAAATTCTGTTTTTTATTACCACCACCTTATAACACAAAAGAAAATTTTGTTCAACATCTTCAAATGCCTTTCTTGGCTTTTCACGCTTTTCATTAACGTGATCTCTGCAGAGCAAATTATTTTTGGTTACACACATTGGCCAGTGTCTAAGTTATAATAATTGCCAGCTGTTCTAATTGTTCTGTTCTGCTGTAATTTTTTTATCTGAGTGTTCACGAAAAATTTTTTTAATGTTTATGTTTAAATGTTCGCATTGGCAATGGATTTTATCTCAGTTTGCATACCATAAAATGAATGATTGAAATACTCATCTGATTAAAATGAAAGTCATCAAGCATTCATTTTTAGGAACCTCGATTCATTAGGCATATTTTACACGTTGAACCTGAATTTAACTTGTGACTGTGGATGAATTTCGAAAATGTTTGTCACGTTGCAGTGTTGCATAGACAACTTGAAGTTGGCTGCGGAACTGCTGCTGAAGTACAAAGCGAAGGTCAACATCAGGGACAAGGAACTGTGGACTCCGCTGCATGTCGCTGCAACCTGCGGACACGTCGAAATCATTAAAATTCTCATCGAAAAGTTATTTCATGAATATTTTAAGAATTTCTTTTAAAGTTTTCTTCTGAATACTCTAAAATTTTTTTTTGAAAACTTTATTAAAGCACGCCTAATTTTGCATATAAACCTTTTTGTCACTGTTTTAGAACATTTGAACCACACGGAAACGGTGTTAAAAACAATTTAACCTTACAATGATTAATAATAAAACCAGGGAGACCAAAAGTTGCAGAATTTGTGGTCTTCTATAGTAGCAACAATGTAAATAGTACAACTTTGTAGAAGATAGCTAAAATTTTGAACCAATAAAGTCTCTAAAGCAAGACTAACATGATCAAATTAAACATTCTTTTACAATCATCTGAACAACTTGAAGGGGGGCAGACTTGCTGGCTGTGAATGTTGACGGCAACATGCCATATGACATCTGCGAGCAAGAGGAGAGTCTGACCATCCTTGAGACTAGCATGTTCCAGAGAGGTCAGTTGATTTCATCTCATAAACTTGACGTCATCATCTGATAAAGTTCGAAAATTGACGTCATCATCTTATAGATTTGATATTATCATCTTCTGATAAAGTTGCGTCTGCTTCAACAATTTGCTAATTAGTGAATCAAATCTAATTTCTCATTCAGTTGCGTTGATTATATTTTTGAAATTTTATGCGCGGAATTGAAGTAATAGATAATAAACACATAATATACATTTAGTAATCTCAAACTTAGTTGCCAACGTGTCCGACTAGATTATTTATTTATAAAAAAAAGTTTAATTCAGGTTTAAATTAATAAAAACGAATCATACAAAACCATAAAAAATGTGAATACCGATATATGATAACATTCACAAAGCAATGTTGAATATGTAAAAGTAGACTTCAAATAAAATTCATTTTGTTTAAAAAATTCATCATTTTTTAAACAGTTCAATTTTCGTACAACTCACCAATTCATAGCAAAACAAGAACGAACCTTCGAAATAATCTCAAAATAACTTCCGAAGGTGTAACCCAGGACCAGATTGACTCGACTCGATCGACGCGTGAAAACGAGATGATCAAGGAGATCGAAGCAGCAGTCGCTGCCAACAACAACAAGCTGCCCAAGTACCTCGGTCCCAATGGGGAGACTTTGGTTAGCTGTGTATATATGAATAATAAATATTCATACCGTTATTAATAAATACAAATACTTAAATTATAAATATATATATATCAATAACAGGTGCATGTATTTGTGTATGTATGTATGCGTGTATGTATGCTTGTATGTATTAATATGTATATGTATGTATGTATGTATATATGTATGTAGGTATGTATGTATGAATGTATGTATGTATGTATGTATGTATGTATGTATGTATGTATGAATGTATGTATGTAGGTATGTATGTATGTATGTATGTATGTATGTATGTATGTATGTATGTATGTATGTATGTATGTATGTATGTATGTTTGTATGTGTGTATGTATGTGTGTATGTATGTGTGTGTATTGGGTGTAAACTAATTTATACTGTCTTTTCTACCTTTCAGTTGCACGTAAGCGTGAGTTTCGGCTACCTCCGACTTACTGAAATGCTCCTGAGGTACCGTATTAAAGTTAACGCTGCAGACAGCGACAAGTGGCAAGCCATTCACTGCGCAACATTCTGGGGACAGGTTTATTATTTATTCGTTGGTGATGTTTTCTTTGAAATTATTTGAATGGAAACCATTAATGCTTGTTTGAAATCATAATTGCAATCAAAAGTACCGACCTGTTTTTGCTACTGTAATTGTAGTTATTTAATTATTTTGACTTTTGTTTTACAATTTAGGACCAATAGAAAATAGCATTAACACAAACTGGATTCTTCTTTATTTCAATTTATTTTTGGTTGTTGGTTATTTATTTATTGTTATCATAATTGTAATCGAAAATGGTTGCAATCGAAATTTTCCATTTGCTTCAAATTTCACGAGTAAATGATTGATTTTAGCGAGAACTGCAGTTAACTATTCTTGTCCAATTAAATAATTGAATCAATGAAATATAATAACATTTACACATAAAAAATTAAAGAACTATGTTAAGCAGATCATTCTTAATGTTACTGATTCTCGTCCATCTTGGTTTTCTCATCTCTGTAGTCGTTTTTCTTCTGATGTTCTTAATAATACCATTTCTAATTTCTCTACGCTTACGTTTTGGGTACCTCAAAAATCTATCCTTGGCCCTCTTCTATTTATACCCTATACCTCTGAACTATCTTGTATCATTAAATAATTGTCTCTTAGTAGCTGACGAATTCCTGTATTTATACTTGTTTTCCTCCATATAATCTCAATAGTGCTATTCATAATTTATTTCTATGTTTTTCTTCTGTGACTCTACAAGTCATAAACTAAGTCCTTCTAAGTTTGAATTCATGTTCCAATAAATCTGAACTCTCTAATACTATTCCTTCTATCATCTTACCTGATTCTAAAACTCTTGATTTTTTTTTCATAAATTTTGTAATTTAGGCTTTATTTTTGATTTTAGCATGTCTCTCTCTTCTCAGATTAATAGTTTTTGTAAAAGTTCTTAATTCCGTCTACCTAGAATAAAAAAACGTTTGCTTTTTCTTGACGATCCTACTCTCACCCCTCTTGTTTCTTCATTAGTTTTATCTAGGATTGATTATTGTTACTCGCTTTCCGCTCTTTTCACTGTAAGTTTCTACTTCCTTCTCTAACTACTACCCCATCACTTACAAAGTTCGGAGTGGATTTCAAGACCATTCTGTTTGTAAAATTCACCGAGGAGCGCTTTATAATTAATTGATTAATTGAAAAAATCATCTCAAAATCGTTTAATAAAACTTTCAAAAAAATAAGTAATATTTTTGATTATCAACAATGTAATTAATTGAGAAAATTCAAATTTAAACCATTTCATTCAGCTGCATCTGATAGAAATCCTACTGAGGTACGGAGCCGATTTCCACGCAAAAACTAAAAACGGCGAGACCGCCTTAGGTTTGTGTTATTTGCATCAAGAGTTTATTTAGAGTTTGACAAAATAATTACTAATTTCTTCTTCAAGACTCAGGTTATTTCATTTCATTTAATTAATTTATCGAACCCTACTGCACTGCAGACCTATGCGCTAACGAAGTAATAAAGAAGCAAGTGATGCAAATACGTGAGGATGCTAGTAAGAGAGGACAGATGAAGAAGAGTTTCTTTGGCTCCACGACAAACACTTCGTAAGTTTTCTCATTTGTTCTTTCATTCATTTATTGGTTCATTAGATAAATTTATTATTTCATTAATCTATTTATACAGCTTGAATCAATGATAATACCTTGTCAGTTTAAATAAAAATTAACTTATTTTCATTTGAATATATACCCTCTAGGGAAAATTGTTTGAAAATAAATTCAGAGAAAAAAATTTAAAAAACTAATTTTAATAAGTACTAAGATTGACAAAGGTAACTGCATACCAACAGTTTTTAATTATTCTAACGACCAACAAAGGAACAATGATACTTCAATGCGTGAATCCAAAACAGACGTTATGCAGATGACAAGGTTCAGTAAAACGGACATCATGGTACCCGTCGTTGTTGATGAAGTGAGATTTTCTTGTGCGATGCCATAGGGGGCAACTACATTCATTTGAGACATTTTCAAATTGCGAATATTTTTGAATTGCAAGTAGAACTCAGTTTTAAAACATTTGAACAAATGGCAAAATATGGGAATGCCGCAAAATTTTGCAATTCAATGTTCGGGAAACAGGAAAAACGTTTGTCGAGTAGCTAGTTGTTCCTGCTTGAATTTTGTTGACCACAATTTGTTTCATACATTGAAATATATTAGCAAATTTTCATTACAGAATATCAACTTATTAAGAAGCTTTAAATAATTTGTTACTTAGTGACAATTAAATCGAATAATTCTATGAAACTTTAGTTAAAAGTAATAAAAATAAAGCGAAGCGAAGTTCACTAAGAAGCGAATCAAATTGACTTGCATGTCGCAGGCTGACTAAAATGATAGCAACGTATACATTTATTTCAGAAAAAAACTCCACGAAATCCAGATAGAAAATTTAATATACAAAAAGGCAGACGAAGAAGTTCGACAAAATTTAACATGGGCGGGACAATTGCGGAGGAGTTGGATGATGATTTAGAACAGTTGAGAAAGTTTTTGGATAAAGAAAACAAACGTTGTGTTGTAAGTGAAACTGCATTTTTTTGTATCACACAATTGGAACACTTCCACGTTTGTGCTACTGTTTTGCAACGTTTCGTTTCATTCCGAAACAAACACAAACATATTTTGCAGATATCTTGACGTGTTGTAAAACAGGTGAAAAACTAAAGTTATTTACGGCTAACATGGCTAACCCATCCATGAGTCATGTGCTATCTGCACAATAATTCCGCTACGCTGAAAGAACATCTGTTGTCGACTACAATATAAATGATTGTATGAAGAAGGCACTAGAATTTTTCAAACTGCAATCTTTATTTCTCTATTAACATTTATCGATTCAACATTCTAATCATTCAAATGATATAAATTCGTAATTCTGTCATATAACTTGCAAATAATGAGCAGACGAAAAATTTGTTTCGGTTATAACAATAATCATAAAGAATGTTTGCAGATTTATTTCTTTTAATTTATGGAGAATATAAAGTAAAATTAAGGAAAAGAAAATAAAATGCAGGTGTTGACGCACACGAAAAGTTGCGGTGTTCGAACATGACTTCAAATTAGAATAAAATAGGTAATTAAACTTACTAAATACAAAATGAATTAATTATCTAATTAATGACCCAAAAATATAAACAATGTAAAAAAATCGATCAAAATAAATAGAACTCGACTTTCACAACGTGTAATTTACCGATACTTAAACATTTAAAAAAAGAAGAATTGTATTCATCATGTTGATATTATTATGTTATTTAATTAATAACATAATAATAATTAAGTTAAATAATTTAATTATTTAACTTAATTAAATTAATTATTAATTAAATAAAATATCCAAATATAAATATATGAAATGCACCACGAGTTTAGCCATTGTTTAAATCACAAACATACACACCACTCACATACACACAGACACAAGCAATAACACGACACCTCAAATATAGTTGACAGACAAAAGAAAGCGTTTTTCTTCCTGGCGTCCAGATCAAAATCAGTTTTCAAATGTTCAAATTTGGTTTCAGGAATATGAAAATATGTGTATTAGACAACATTGACTATTACGCTAGTCAATTTTGCTGACTGCCATGTAGCATGTGATCTTTATGTATTTTGGTGTGCTGATTCCAAAAATCATATCCATTTTATTAGTCACGTCTACTTTTTGCAAGAAATGAAAAAAAAAAACGAATCGATATAACCATTGATAAGTGAATAGATAATGCTTTGAGAAATTAACGATACAGATAACAAATGAACCTATAAAAGACATATTACGATAAATAAAATATAACGAGCATTGCTGGTTTTTATGTGGAGACCTAAAAGTTAAACCCCTGCTCCTAGGACAACAAAGCGGATACAACCCCTGCTCCTAGGACAACAAAGCGGATACACAAAGTTTCCTTGTTTTTGTGCTTATAGGAAAGACGATCAAAAGTGGAAAATTTAAAAAAAGTGGCCAATTAGCGACACATTTAAGATCAAATCTTTTAGCGGAGAATTTGTTGATGACTTTTCAAAAACTGGCAGCAAACATGAGCGTAAAATTGCATTCTCTTCATAGCCACTCACATGACTTCCCATCAAACCTGGGAGCCATGGGTGAAGAAGGACGTTTCCACCAAGACATCAAAACAATGAGCGTAGATAGCAAGACAGATGGGACATAAGAGTGATAGCAGACTGCTTTTAGTGTGTACACTGTACAGCGTGAAAAGCCTAATAAAAAATATTAAAAAAAATCAAAATAGAAAAACTTCCATCCTATTAATTGAATTTAATTGTTTCAATGGACAGATTCGTTTTATAGAAAAAATAAATAAATGAAACTATAGATAAATTTTATTTGTTAAGTTGTTACATTGTATCTAATTAAAATTTTACAAATTTTAACAATCCAAGATGTAACTAATTGATTCAATATGAAAAATTTCTTATAGTACATCAATGTCAATTTGGTAGAGAGCTCGACAAAAGAATTGTTGTTTGTACGAAAAATTGACATATTACATAATTTCTGATTTTAAATTTGAAGCCAGCATCACTCAAATATATAAAACCAGCAAAAATATTCAAGCCAGTAGAAAATTTATTTTCATATGTAGACCAGAGTTATTATTGACTTTAAGAGGGAGTTTAGTTTATAGAATGAAAATCACAAGGAGTTGTAACAAGCGACACATTACAGCGTTATATATAGTTGGTTTTGTGAGTTAAATTTTTCTATCATCTGTCAATTCATTTCCCGCTACAATTAAGCAGAAAAAATATATACACAAATACAAACTTATGGACACATTACAATACATTTCATCCAATGAAATCACACAAGAATCCCGCACTTATATTTGTATAAAACTATTATCGCGTTAACAAAAAATTTAACATTAAATATTATTCTCCAACGTTATTTATTCAAGTCTTTGATTTAAATCATCATTTAACAGCTTTCCATTTTTATAAGATCATGTTGTAAACAATATAATTATAATAAACTACAATTTATATTATAATATAGCAAGCTATTATAATTTGGTCTTTTGTTTTTCCGCACGAATCACTTATGAATGGAAACCTTAAATGAATCGTAACGAATAAACTAAATGTGTCTGACATTCAACTCAGTTAATTCACGGCACCGTCCACATACATAATTTTAAAGAAATAGGTAGAATCTGATGGTAATGATAAATTAAAGAAAATATAAGAAAAAGTATGGAAATTAAAACATTTTAAAATATCTGAATATTTAATCTAATCAATATTAATGATCCCACTATATTTCAGTTTGAATATTAAACGATTGATAAGGTAAAAACCGACGATCACCCAAATATCGGTGATAAACAAAAAAAATTTTATTTACGTGAAAGAATTTAATGAATAAAACTGCGAAACAGCAAATAAACATAATAATCTGCATACAGAACGGAGCGTAAACAATCATCACAACAAATCAGTCACACTTCAGAAACTTGAAGTGTCGATATAAAATTATAAAAATAAACATTCAATAAAAAAAAAAATAGAAAAATCCGAATAAACAGGTGAACTTAACCACGTGAAAAAGCAAGAAAAAGTTTTGAAAATAGACAATCGTTAATGCTCTAACGTACATTTGAAAAAAAAACTAAAATACGAATAACTAAAAATGTAGATTAGTTCCATAATAAAGAAATACTATTACGTTCAAATATTTAGGAATATTTCGAAAGGTTATATTAGCATACCATAAAAATAAATATAATGAAAATCTACATGAGGAAGCTATGAGAAGTGCACCAAGGGGTATGGAACTTTTTGTGAAACAACGCTGCAGAGATAAGGAATAGTATTAGATGAGTTAAAAAAGATGAAAATGTACACCATTCAATTCACAAACACTTTCACGGATGAATATTCAGAAAAAAAAATTCAGTTTAAAATTCATGTAGTATCATTCATTTCACGTTCTTTTTTATCAAATTGAGATATTATAAAAAAAAGTGATGGAAAGCTGTTGAAGTCGTTTGAGTAATTTTTTTTAAATGCTTCACGAGCCAAATCAAAGAAACAAAGATTCCGAAAAATGATATTTCATCTTAGAAAATTCAAAATCTGCCCACTAAATTTTGAAAAAAATGAAGCAGTAAATATAAAAATTACAACATTCCGATTGCAATAATTCAAAAAAATTTCAATTGAACGTGAGGGAAGCAACAAGAATTGAAGCATGAAGAATATAAAGAACTGCACGTTAAACAATGTGACAAACTTGAATGAAATCATCAAATTGAAAAGTTTTTTCTTAACAAGTAAACGATTGTTTGGCCGTAACTCACGATATAAAAACACGCGACAGAATGCAAGCATGTTGCGATGTGGAGTACTTTTAAGATTAAGGAAGTTGAAACCAAATACAACCTCTCTTCCATATAATAGCAATAAATTAGAGCGGATCAAGACAACGTTGATTGGGTGGGCCAGGCTAGATTTTAAAAGCAACCTTGATGGGGGGCCATAAAATACCAACTTTGCTTTTATAGACTGGCGACAATTTTTGGTCAGAAGGAGAAAATGATGAAGGCCAGAGAATCTCTGACCATTACAATCTTAAAAATAGAATGAAATTTGAACAACATTCTAAATGCTCTCACTCAAGTCGGAAATATTATCAACTTCAACCTGATAAACTTAATATGTAACACAAATTTTTGCATAATAAATACTGGAGCCAATACAACCACCTAAATTTTTCAGAAATACAATTTGAAATAAAATTAAGAGTGAAAGAAACATTCAGTTTGACAATTACATCTCAATTGCAAAACATCAAATCGGGATAAACTCGGAAGATGACAAACTCGATGGAATGTTCTACAAACATAATCCCTCTTCTCCATGTTGAGATCGAGGCAAATGAAGTCGCCAGCATCTCCAATATCTTCCAAGGAAAAATGAAAGATTGAAGCTGCGGATAAAGAGCTCAAGATCCAAGCATTAGGTAGCCAAATTGCAACTAACGAATACGAAAAATTGAAAAAAGTTTAATAAAATAAAAAATTGAGGTAAACTATATAACTAAAAAAATAGGTGGGTTTGATTTACACAAACATGAACAAACAAATGCAAACATAAAGATCCAACTAGCTTGCTTTGGGAATGTTTTTGTTCATTCTTGGAATGAATACACTTGGATGCAATTTAACAAATGCGAGCTTTAGAATGTCAGACAACAAAATATATAATTTTAATTGTGAATTTAAAATGATAAACAGATGAAAAATGATGACCTTGCTGACTCAATAGAAGAAATTATTTGCAAGAAATAATAATTCATTGACTCGTTTATAATTAGGAGAACTAATCACAGATAAAAGTGTTGCCAATGACTGAGGCAATCAAACGATGCGTAGATGAAAATAATTTGCATAAAACGTTTGTGATGAACAACATTGAAACAAGTTTGGAATGGTTAATTGAAAAATATTCACACGTACAAACACTTGAAACACAAACATACATCGTATTGCGTCACTAAGTTGGAATGCGTGATCATATTACATCATATCGGATCGTGGGTTATAGTTTCAACGAAAGAATCGTTTACCACTGCTGCAGCTGCTGCATCAGCTGCACTGGCGACTTCATTAGCCTCAATCTCAACGTGATCATCACCCATAATTACTTCACCAATAACTTTGCTTTCACCAACATCGCGATGATCACCACCACCATTACTAAGACTATTGCTGGAGATTAACTTCTCAACGACCTCGCCCTCGGACCCACCATCCAGGTCGTGGGGCACGCCCTCACTGAGCACATCATTGAAGCCAGCAATGATGTCCGCCATGTTGTTGCGTTTGGAGTTCAGCTGCTGCGAGTGCTTCTTCTGCCTGATGGACTTGATCTTGCAGCAGACGATGCAGGGAGCTGCGATGAGGATGACCGGAGATGCCATCAACATGAGAAGCCCGATGCCCGTGAAGATGGTCACTACCTGGTCATGCATTGTGTGTGATGTGATGATGGTCAGTCACTATTAGGAATGCGACGGTTCCGAATCCGATGTCCTAACAATATGTTTCAGCTAAAACTGCCGCGAGTTTATTAATCACAGAAACAAATTTTATTTTTTGTAAACTTTTTCGTTTTGAAACAGCATTTTTGGTTTTAGGATCGTATGCAAATTGGTTTCGGATCCATCATCAAGGTTCGGATCCGGATCCAAATACCACGGATCTCAAGTTTTTGGACTCGTCTCATTCCCTGTCACTATGCAGTTATGTGATGTGGCAGCTGCATAATGATATGAGGTGAAGTAATTTGAAATCCGCGGTATCCAGAATCAAAGTCGCATGTTACATGTGTACTTAAAATTTAAAACTTTACGCGGATTTAAAATCAAGGATGTTTTCTTCTGGCAAAACTAAAACTCCATCCCTATGACAGATTCAATTAACGTTATAAAACTTATAACATATAAAATATATTACAATATTGTATAGCAGTTGCAGTCACCTTTACAATTGTAATAAAGTAAGAAACAGCTTTAAATATACAAGTTTATTTAACTCGAAATTTATTTATTTAAAATTTCGAATAAAAATAAATGACAATATATTATTAAATATATTTATTCAATAGTCTGAGCAGCCAAACATTTATTAGGCAAACTACCAGAAATGTTAGCACCTCAGCTATTTATTAATCACGGATCTATTTCTGATAATATTCGTCGCATCTTTAATATATCAAGTATTTAAGAACTTTCCCTATAAAATTTGAAAGATGGGATTGTACCTAAAACTAAACCGACACCATATGCTACATCACATGTTGAGATTGACAAATTTGCATTAAATACAAATTTGGTCGTTCGTTCGTTAAACTCAACTAGATGTTGACTGTAGAAGTTTTTTGCTTTTGGAACCTCAAATATGAAATTGTTTGCTACCAGGCTCAAGAAATCGGGGTTTATCAAATTCAAAATTTAAAATCCCGTATTTCCTTTTCATGCACACTTTTCAGTGCTATAATATAATATAATGGAACAGGATCATTAGGAACCTCAAGTATAGTTAGCACTATTAAGAGTGGCAAAATGCTTTTTACGAAATTTCTAACAACAATAACAAACATTTTACAGACTTAATGATGGACACGATTCAAGATACAAAAATATAAATTCAGTTGAAATAAGAAGAGAAGAAAGGACCCATCAAACTCTAACCTTAAAACTTTTGATTCGAAAAAATACCGGCATTATAGTTTATTAGAGATATTATTTGAAATCTAGAGGGCAACACTTGAAAGCTTCTCGAAATAAGTTATGAAACATTACAGAATATAGTTAAAAAAATTAGAAATACCAAACAAATGATCTTCCAAAAAAAAAAAAAAAACCAGCAACAAAAATTGCCAAACGAATGTGAAGACCATCGTTAACATGACAAAACAGCAGCAACCACCTGAAATCTGTGTAGGATGATGGAGGCCCTGGAGTGTCCCAACTTGTTCTTACAACTTCCTCTCTCGTAATGAAGGAATAAGGCATCACTCTGTGGGTACAGTCAAATAATCAACAAAACAACATTGGGGCAGTAGTAATGAGTTTCTATTTTCAAACTCAATCAGTCATTCGTTTTTAACATGTTTATAAAGTCGTATATATTCAATAGATCAAAAGAGATAACATTTCAGTTCCATTACGATAAACGAAGCAATATCGTTACTCGTGTCATTAAAACATGAGTGCATTAATTAATTAATACAATTAAGATCAGAATATTTCCACCAGCCTATGGTAGATAAGTAAATAACGTAATGGTCGTATAACCAGAGTTGCAATTAACAAACAGAGTAGCATATAAACTATAACAACTCTACAGAGCCCAATCAACAGCAACATCTAGACCACATGCAACGATGAACAACACACAGCAGTAACATTACAACAACAATGTAACCATGAGTATTGGGCAGCAATAACATGACAACAACACATAACGACAACCAAACATGCAGCACTAACACGAATGACAACAACACATAACATTAACAAAACAAGAGGCCAACAACACTAACATCGAGACACGTGAGACAGAACCAGCAGAAGATGTGGTTGCACTTTTTGCACTTGATCTGAGCACAGCCCCCATCTCTCTCGATGGGCAAGAAGCAGAAGGGGCACCTCTTTATCGTCGCATTCTCGGAGTCGTCATACCGGATCCTGACAATGATCATGTTTGTTTGTACAGCACACACATGTAACAACATAACTACAATAGCACAGACAAAAATATGCTAAGGTAACAAGATAAACATGCCACAAATGTGAATACTCCTCTCTATCACACTGACATAATAACGATATATATATATTGGTCTCTCAAATGTCAAATTAAGAAAAAAAACTTCCACCTTACAGCACCACAAAAATAATTTAACATTAACAGAAAAAACAAAGCATACACGTCATAAAAACCAACTTATCCTAAAGAGACCAACAAAATAACAATTCAGACTTAGGAACAAGACAAAAAAGTAAAAAGACCTAGACAGACAGACTGACAAACAGACAGACATACAGACAAACAAACAAACAGACAGACAGCAAACAGTCGGACATGTTAATCAAATACACCAACCCATCAAACATGGCTTTCTTCTGAAGAACTTTGATGTTTTCAACACACGAACAGCCCGGATGCCAGGTTTCCTTGCATAAGATGCAGAACACAAAGTCACACTGCTCGTAAAAATAATTTCGAAAAAATTATAAAAAATTATAAATATTTTTAAAGGTAGTAAATAGACAGAAGATAGTAAATAAAGCATTGGTCGTTGGTTGGACATTTATATTCATTGTCCAGTTTTGGAAAAGCACAACACCAAATTTGAGTAACATGTCGCAAACTTGATGAACAATACATTTCGCCAGATATCCAACATTTGCAGCAGCATGAGATCCACGTGTTGAAGAGTAACAAGAGAAAAGAGAACGGTCAAAATAAGAGAGAGTGCATCAACTGGAGTGGCCACAAACACACAAACATGCGGATAGAAACACATAAACATATAGATAGAAACACACAAACATGCAGATAGAAAAACATAAACATATTAATAGATACACACAAACATGCAGATAGAACACACACAAACATATAAATAGATACACACAAACATGCAGATAGAACACACACAAACATGCAGATAGAAACACACAAACATATAGAGAAATACACACAAACTACCCACCAATCAGATAAACAGCCCAGCAGTACAACAATGAAGAGATTATGCATGGATTACGGAAACATGAAGGCAGGCAGGGACACATACAAACATAAACTGACATAGATACAAAAGTCACGTAAGTAATTAAGACAACTTATTCATTCTAGGGAACAAATTTGAAACAAAGTTAAAGACCCAACAATCGAAACATAAGGACAAATATGAATGCTTACAAACATGCCATAGAAACAGTGGAAAATGTAAATAATTATGAAATCCAAATTAAACCTACAAACGAATATGCAATAACATAAAACATGCAGAAGAGCAACACAAACGCACAAGCATATAAATACACACAAATACACACACACACACATACGCATATATACAAACAGAAAAACACACAATCATACAAACGAACACACACACACAGACACGCGCAAACATAAAAATTCACACACACAGATATACAAACACACACAAACACAAACTTCAAAATAAGCAAAGCAATAGAAACAACCTTGGGGCACCAGATAGGTCGACTAGTAAATTTTTCCTGCTTGCTGAAGTCCTCCTTATCCAACACACACACCATGTCACAATTCTTCATCGGACAGAAGCTGCGATTTGGATTGAAGTCGATGTCTGCATGATTGGTAGGAAGGTTGGTTGGTTGGTTGGTTGGATGGGGGGTTAGTTGGTAAGTTGAATGGTTGGTTGGTCGGATGGTTGGTAGTTGAGATGGCTGGCTGGTGATGTTGTATCGTTAATATACAATTACATGGGATAAAATTATTTCATTTTTTTCACGATACCTTCAAAGTTCTTCAAAACTGAAACAAAGTCAACTTCAAACGTGATTTATATGTTTGTGGGCAGCGAATCTAAAATTAACCACAAGATTAATAAAAACATGAAAAAAAACCCAATGAAACCACAGTAATTGAGATGTTTCAACAGAAAAAAAAATAATGAAGAAACAGTGTAAAAAATAGTGGTGGGTGATAGGTGACAACTCGCTCTGATGAAATGATAACACCACTTTAATCCTATTTCATGAAAACAAAACCAGCTCAGAATGTACGAGTCAATACGAAAAAGCAGTTCAATGTGATAACAGTTTAACGCGATGATGTAATAACAGTTTAATGTGATGATGTCATAGCAGTTTAATGATAACATGCTGCAGCATATTTGATGTAATGAGTATGTCTTAATGTTGTTGCTACATCATTGTAATCATCATTGTAATCATTACTCATGTAATTTTGCTAAGGCCAGATGAAGATTCATCTGCAACATAGCACACAGATTATAAACAGACATCATAATTATATGATCGCTAGTATGGCTAAGAAGAAAATTATTATGAAAAAGGCGTACGGTATTATAACCTTTGTGGTACCTTAACTGCTTGTACTTCTTGTAAAGATCTGACCCAATAAGGTTAGCAACCTGGTGAATAGGAATTACTACATTAGAGTACTGACTAACAATGCATCAGGCACGTCAAATCAATTTGAAAGAAATTCAAATTGACACATCAACAGGTAAAATTTTACAGCGTTAAAAAATTCTCTCATATTAACGGCGATTAAGTTATTTAAAATCATAAAAGAGCGAATTGATGGAATGAGGTACACACACTGCATATGACAGGTGCAAGTGAATAATTACAAAACAAGAAAGCATAGAACACGACATACGACATACGTAAGCATACAAAGAAACATGATACACACACAATATATTGTATAAAATTTTAATAAAAATTAAATCACCTTATTAAATATAGCGTAGGCACAACACACACACACACACACGCACGCACGCACACACACATACATACACACACACATACACACACACACTACTTACTTCATCCTGTAGTATGATTCCATGTTCTTTACAATCTCGATCTGGACATTCAATGGTGTACACATTTCCTTCCTGGATGCATACTGTCAAGTACTCCTTCAAACACTGTGTGTGTGTGTGTGTGTATGTCTGTGGAGTGTATGAGTGCATGTTTTTATGTATATGTGTGGAGTGTCATCATCATGTGTGTGTGTGTGAGCATGAGTGTGTGTGTAAGTGTGTGTATGAGTGTGTGTAGCATGTGGTGAGCATTGTATGTATTAAATAACTTTTAATAAGTGGCTGAAGAGCATGTAATGTGCTTTATGCAATGAGTTTTTAATCATATTGTACTTTCTGAATCCATCACAACTCCAACAAGTTGTCATTTCATAATACTATTGGACTATTTTATAAAATTTTTATAAAACTTTTAAAACATAATAACCAAAAAATTAGACATTACATGCGCTCTTACTGACTCCTCACCCTTTAACTATCATCAAATCTGCTCCTACCATTAACATTTTTACCATTAGCAAATTAATCAACATAAAATTGGTCTTCTTATCTGCATATAAATAAAAACTTTTAAACTCATGAAACTATTTTAATATTTGTAGCTAATGCAATTAAATATAAGTATGAGATAGATCTCACAAGTTTATTACACTACAGATTATACCAAGGGTGGGCCAACTAAAATATAAATTATTTAATTAATATGAATAGCTATACTATGCTAGTGAATTATTATTCAGTATTTATATTTTATAAGTTATATTTATTTTAATGAATTATTATTTAGTATATTTAATAATATATAATATATTTATAATATAATATAATAATAATAATACAATATAAATTTACTTTACTTACAACTACATTCCATTTATTTATATGATTTATTAATTTTATTATTTATCCAAATTTTATTGATTATTTATTCCACATTCATTCAATCATCCATTCATTCATTTATTATTTCATCCTCATTACAAATACATTGCATCATTCATTCACAATGGTCATTATGATCATATATATTTATTATTATTAAATATTATTAATTTAATATTTAATTTAATACTAATTATCAAATAAGGAATATTAAGCTGACCTGATGGCAGAAGATGCACTTGCAGCTGTTGAGTGTGTGCATCTTGTTGAATGGGACATGGTCCCAGCACAATTTGCATTTGACTTTTGAAGAAGAGGAATGTGACGAAGATGAGGTGGTTGTAGTGGTGGGCTGTGGCTGTGAGGTTGTGGCTGATATTGATGAGGATTTTGCCTGCACTTTCAACAACTGCTGGTTCATCATGAAACTCTCTGTTCTTTAATAATTCTTTCTCTTTTGTGACATTTCTTTTTAACTAGTTATAAAGTCAGTAACACAAATCAACCAGGAAGAAGTAGAAAAAGTTTGAAATGATGTTTGTCCGAACTAAATTGAAGATGACAACAATTGAAAAGCGATAAACGACGACTATAAAATAAGGTGCAACTAATCGCCAGGTAGCCAAAGGAATTTTTGACCGTCCAACTGGCTATCATTATCTCCCTGGACATTACTTAGGAATTAACAGTGGCTTTTGGTCACTCATTCATTTAATTTCAAACAATGAATCATTAACTGTACTTAGATTGATTGCTCTTCATTAAAAAAATGGCATAAATGCTTCCAGCTCAGTCGACCGTAAGTTCATGTGTGTTGTTCAATTCTTATAATAAAATTCCATGGCCAGCCTCGACCAGTAAGATCTTGTCTAATGTTTAAATATTTTAACCTTCAATATATTGTGTGTGAAATATAGATATAACTGTTTTAAACAAGATAACAAGATTTATCAAAATTGTAACATACCAATAAAAGGTCGTCAGCCAGACCAAAAAAAGGAGCTACAAATCTTAAAAAAAATTCTACCCCGGGTCGAAAAAAATTGCAAATTTACATATGCGGTCTTTCAAAGGTAAAATAGTTCTCAATGCGGCCCTCACAGCAAAAAATTTGCCCACCCCTGATATACACAGTTAAGAAGCGTGAAATTATGTTATATTTTCAACGACGTCTCCAGGTTTTTTCATTTTCAAAATTATGTTAGTTTTATTTCAGTTCAACTATAATTTTTGGAATGAAGTGCATAACATCAATTGATATTTTCAAATTTGTTCAATGGAACAGTATTCTCTCACATTACGTAAAACGGTTTTTTATTCAGTAGTTTCCTTTTCTGTCAAATGACTTTTTTACTCAGCCAAACATTCTGCTACCAGAAAGGTATGACAACAAAATAATTTGTGAAATTTGTTGTGATTCTGAAACAAAATGCCCAAGCAGTTACATAGTGCCCACTGTTAATCATTACCCCCCACCCTAAATCGCTTTGGTTTAGGGTGGGGGGGTACATGGCCCACGATCACACAAACAAACGAACACCCAATTGGTAACTGATATTATTTCGATATTTTTGGTAAATTATTTAAATTTATCAGCCTCTCAATAGCATCGTAATTACCGTAGCTAAGCCAGCAGTTAAAATATTTCAACCACCACTAAAATGACCGAACATAATTCACTATTAATATGACCACATGCTACGATGTGCAGTGACGGATCTAGACAAGGTGACGACATCTTGACTGAATTTACCTTGTGGTTTCATCAAAAATACAATTATAAATTCTATAAATCACATTTGAAGAGACACGGAACATTAGAAGAGTTGCTGAATCACATCTAATTCTTTCACCAAAACCAAAAAATTACAGTTGAAATTCCGTACAAATATCGTCACTGTCACTAAAGTTCAGTAAATAAAATTGCTAAATAAAACATTCATCGCCTCTGTAATTGTTTCTATATTATTTTCACTCTACTGATTTTGTTAAATTTTCATTACAGAAATTTGTGTGAGATAATTTTTTTGATTAAATAATTCATTAAAAGAAAACATTCAATAGAATAAAATATTAACATATTTAAATACTAATAAAATAATCATTATTATAATACTGATTCCCGTTATTACGGCCGTTTTACGATCATTAATTTATATAACCCATGAATTCAATGGCTTATCACTACAGAATATTGAATAGTTGTAAATGTAATTAACGTTCCTAATTAATTAGTGATCAACAGTGATTAAAATATTACGATCCCGCTAAATTTTATTGAATTCCAAGCGTTTTATTAGCAGGCTCGTAATGTGTGTTACTGGACAGCTATAGTTAGAATATTGAAACATACGCTGAACATGTGTGTGGTTGCATATGCTCTATTTGATCAAAGAGATTCAAATTGATTTTCTTTACAATTTTTTGACCGTAAATTCATAAGATAACCGTCGCTTATATAAGTCGGAGATTCCTACTATTTAACACTTTCGTTAACAGTTTCTCGCGATAAAATTTCACACTTGTTGTTAATTTCACAACTGCTTTTTAAATCTTATTGATGTGTTTGAATAATTTGAAAAATTGAAGATTTGACAAATTCCTTTTCAAAAATAAGAATTCGAATTGACATAGCATCACATATACTATCGATACATCAACAGTTCAAATCAGATAGTGCATCACCAACGTCTCAAAATTTTTTAGTTGTGAATCTCACCTTAAAGGCTGATCACAGAATAGTGGGATTGCGCGTATATTAAGTATTTTTTATAGATATTTTACTTGCAGACTGTGAAGTTGGTTAATCAGTTAATCAGCATGGCTCATCTTCCTAAAACATCTTCATCATCATTATTCACGTCGCAACTTTCATTGTCAACGACATCATCCACTCAAGTTGATTTCAATGACCAATCCAACTACTCGCTTCCAACTCACAACGGCTGCTACGACCACCAATTGATGCAGCAAGAGCAACAACGTCAACAAGATGTGGCTATGAACCTTCAACAACAGCAACAACATGATCCACATTTTTCACAGCAACAACATTCAAACCACGACAACAACAATATGAAACTGGAACTTGAAAACTGCGACCTCTGGAACAGTTTCTCAAAACTTGGCACCGAAATGATCGTAACGAAATCTGGTCGCCGAATGTTTCCAGCACTTAAAGTCAAACTAACCGGTCTGAAACCGAATCTCAAGTACGCTCTCCTACTTGATATCGTACCGTGCAATCGAAACCGATACAAGTTCACAAACGGACGATGGTCGGTAACGGATAGAACGGAACCTGCAGCGGATCTGAGCTGTGGGAGGATGTTCGTTCACGGGGATTCTCCGACAAGCGGGGAGCATTGGATGAGGCAGGTCGTGTCATTCCACAAGATGAAACTCACAAATAATACGACCGATCAACATGGACATGTAAGTTTAAATGGCGATCCTTTATTTTCTGAATAATAATTTGTGTAATAATCAGTAAATGAAATGACACTGTTGATATGCAGAACAGTTTTGTATCTTCATCAAATCACATCTTTCTAGAGTTTTAAACTTGCAATTATATAAAATAATTTTACACAAATTTCTACAGATAATCCTGGCAACAATGCACAAGTACACCCCACGCATTCACGTAGTTCAGACTGACGACCTACAAAGTCTCCACAGAAGTCCATTCAATACATTCACATTCCAACAAACTTCCTTCATTGCTGTCACAGCCTACCAGAACGAGATGGTCACAAAGTTGAAGATCCATCACAACCCATTCGCTAAAGGTTTCAGGGAAACGAAGAATGATAAAAGGTATGTTTGGTGTCTAGAAATTTTATACTAAAGTTGGATTTTTAAAGTGAAGATTCACTGTAATTAATGAAATAAGAAAATTTATTAAAATTTAAATTATTTTTCAACCAAAAAAATTAAAAAGTGTTATTTTATTTATTTTTTTTAATTTTAAGAACAAGTAAACCAAAAAGACGTGCTTCTTCATCTGACGATGATGACGGCAACATTGGTGTCAGTGAAAATAATCATCAACTGGACCATCAACAGCAATTTCAACAACTACAACTACTACATCATCAACCGCTACAAGAGCTGCAACCACAACAACCACAGCCGCAAAATCAAAATAAGCGAACATACTGCTACCAACACAACGAGCCCGAAACATTTACAACTCCAACAACACAACAACCGCTAACAAAACGAAGAAAAATAGATATGCAACGCCCGCAACTACTACAAAATCAACAACTTTTTCAACTGCAATCTCTTTCGCAAACATATCAACAACAACAACAACAACAACTACATCAAATGAATTACTCCAAATTTGAGAACTCCACAAATAACTTTACTTGCACACCATTTTTTACAACATCAACTCCAATCAGCAACAACAGCAACCACAGGCGTTCAACAATCAACATACTTAAAAATTGCAGTAATATTGCAGTAAACAACAACATAAACTACACCAACTTGTACAAAGACTCGAACGTTTACGACATCCACAACAACTCATCGACATGTTATCATCCAGCCATTCAACGAACGACATTCAACAGCGCCACATCGCCATCCTTCTCGCCACCACTTCCAACAGACATGAACGACAGTGGCTATCACACGTTCTGCTTCAATTCACAACCCAAAGCATGGTCGCCAAAAATTACAAAACAACGCAAAAATTCCACATCACCGTATTTCAGTAACCGGCATCAAACCGATTCGCCACTCGGTAACAATTCGTATATTACTACTGGGAACTACACGCCGGATAATTCGTTGATTAATTTACAGCAGTTTAATTTAGCAACAAATTTGATGTACCAAAAAGATTTGATGCTTCGACAGAAATTATCATTTACCGACACGACGAATCCGACCGACCCATCTGTACTTCCAACCTTCCCAACAAATGCCTCATCATATTTCGCCAACCAGGATTTTTACAACAACAATAACACGGTTGGCAATGATGACCACCACCGTTTCTCGTCAGACTTTCTGAAAAATTGCCATCATCCAGGAAACATTCTACCACAAAGCAGCCAACCATTCATTCCCAACTGCCACAATTACTCGACAAAAATTTCCCAGAATCCGTAGCTGAAAAATTGCGATTGAAACATTTTTCCAAAACTAATTCATTTTTAGTTTTATTTTATTTTAATTAATTGTAAATAATTTTGAATTGTACCATGTTCTTTATTAAATTATATTTTATGTATATCCGTGAATTGAACAGTTTGTGAACAATGTGTGTTTGATGAATAGTATTTTTTAGAAGGAATTGTACATATGCATGCATTTTATATCTTGTTATTTATTTTTAAAAATGCATATAAAAATGAATTTTAAAATAAATATATATATGTAATTTTTCATAGTATATTGTAAATACAATTTTTTCGCTAAATTATAAAAATCGAAGCAAACAAAACTTTCTCAATGGTTTTAATTAAATTTATTTCTGATTTATTAAACATTTTACAATTGAATCTGCCTAAATAAAGACTCTTTTGCTAAAATATTGCGTTTTTTTGTTTAATATCTCTCTATTAAGTTCCATTTTATTTAAAAATCTAAGCCACAACCACAGCAGAAGAAATCTGACAACGACTCTGGCGACCAGCAGCATTCATTCAATGTTATTCAACATGTGACTAATTATAAGCATAAACAAGTAGGTTGTAATAATACCAGGATGAGAAATACTAATCGTAACGGGTTCAAAGGCAGGCGAATGTTAAACGTTATCCGTTGGCGGTAATGCTGATGAAGATTTTATATGTAACCCGTCGGCAACTATGTGCTTACGCTACATACTCGCGTGACGGTTTCGTGAATTTCAGACAGATAGAATTAGAACTAGGTATGGCGCAATTTGTTTTCTCCTCAAACTTAAAAAATACAGCAGCACGGAAATACTTTGAAATTATATTAAAATTTAAGTTTATTTGCAACACTGTGAAGATGAAATTTGGGGAGGTATTTTATTAAATGTTTTGCGTCCGTTTTATTGCAAACACACCTAAAAGTATGACGTCTCATAGCTGCTCGCAATTTTTATAATCTTCTGATTCATGCTTGAAGCACGAACGAGTCTTCAACAACAATAAATGTAAACGATTTTATAAAACTGTGTCATTCACGATTTATTCATTTATATATAAATAATATTAACATAAAATATCCGTTTAAAATATCACAGAACACTGATAGAAAAAAAATTTAAAAAACAAAAACGCGAGAATATTAAATTATAAACCTGAAAGACAAGATGTTTAGAGCATGGTATCCATCTACGCGTACCTATGTAACAATGGTAGCCAGGATTACAGATCATGGCTACCTAAGTATGTGAAAACAGAAGTGAAAATAATTATATCAAATACAAATAGTAGGGATGTACTTTTTATCTATTTATTCTGTGATAAATGTTTGAGTAGTTAAATAAGTAGTTAACTATGGTAGTTATTAACTACTCGAAAAAGTAGTTGCAAGCTACAGCTCAGCTACTAGTGTGTAGCTGTTACTAATTACATAATTAACTAACTAGTAACTACTAGTTAGTAGCTATTCATCTCTGGGTAAATTTTTCCCGTTAATCCACGTACAAATTGCTATTCAGCAACTTGTACAACACTTTGTCATAATTCAAGTGACATCGAGTAATAAAAAGCTGAATGGACAACGAGGTTAAAAAAAAGTTCGTCTAATCCTCCAAGTATCATACACACATGCGGCAAATTTTTGAATAAATCATAAAATTGCTGAAATAAATTTAATCAATTTAAGAATTGAAATAGATATTGATCTTTTCTTATCTATTGCACCTTGAATGTTGTTGAGGTTGGTTAACACGTGTTTCAATCGAAGTTAATGTTTGGTGTAGAGGCGAGCTGAAATTAAAATAAACTGATTGTTTGGATGATTCTCTTTTTTCTTCAGATTTTCCATCTACAACTACATTTTCTAAAATTCTCATCCCTTTTTTCCAACCTCATTTCCATGATTACCATTTTTAAACTTTTTACAATGGTAGAACTTCAACCTTATTTCTTCTGTACACATAAATAGCGTTAAATGGAATAACAAAAATAAATAAAATAAAACTGCATGTTTTATTAATCTATTTATGAAACTACTCTTTTTTAAAGTTAAAGTTTAACCTAAGATAAAAAAAAACTAAGCTGTTGTTCTAACTCGGGCCACTGAGGTGTCCCTGTCCAACATGGGACGAAACGCGTCTAGCCTAAAACGAGTTAGTAGATGTTCACAGTAATGCAACTATGGGTGAGAGATGGAATACTTTATGCACTTGTGCTGTCCGTCATACTTGCATTGGAAAGTGTTTGCTGTAGATGTCTTATATAAATAATAAAATAATATATAATACATTATATATTATACACACACACAAACACACAAACACACACACGCACGCACACACACGCACGCACACACGCACGCACGCACAGACACACACACGCACGCACAATCACACAAACACACATATATATACACAAACACACATTGATTAAACTAATATTCAAGTTGATGGGTAACTATATTTTGAGATCATTAAACTATAGTGCTGTGTATAAAAACTTGAAGGTATGTAGATCGGGGGTGGGCAATCATTTTGCAGCTGTGAGGGCCGCATTGAAAACTATTTTATCTTTGGAGGGCCGCATATGTAAGTAAATTTATCGACCGTTGTTCAGAAGTTGATTTGTGACTGACGACCTTATTTGGTCATTTCATTTTTTTTAAAAATGCGTACAAACGATCGCGGGCCGCATAAAATGGCTTGCTGGGCTGTAGTTTGCCAACTCCTAACGCAGATGATTGCTTCGATCTGGTGTCCGCCTTGATTCATTCAACAAGCACGAACTGTCCAGGTCTTCTGCCGGGCAACAAACAATGCAGGTGCGTCCTCCATAGTAAAGAAGTAAGCTGGAAACTCTCAAACTGGTTTTAAACAATTGCTAGAAACACTGGAACAAATTTTTTTATATGTCCAGCTATAATTCAGAATAGTGTAATGAAATATTTAAATAAACGAATAAATGAATAACTCACCTGAATAAGTTGCGATTTACGTATGCGTTTTGTTTACGTAAATATAAGCTCATAACTTTTTTAACTATGCAACTCAAACTGAAGCAGTTGTTTCGATATTTATGATAGTTACCGTTAAACTTCCATGTCACAAATGCTGTAACGCTCACTCGGAAAGACTGTACATAAAAAAAGGTGCATTGGGGTCTTTGAATTTTGTGGGCGGCATTAAAAGTAATTAAAAACTACACGTGTTTTGAATGTTAATTTTTGCTGTTACGCGCATGTGTTTTTGTTGTTTTGTACAGAACCAGGATTTAAAAATAAAAGACAACGAAGGAACAGAGGTTCAAAATTATTTTCAATTTTCTATTGAAATTGATGCATTTGGTCCGTAAGTTATACTATGTAGTTGAAGCACAAAAAAAATGATAACTATAATTTGAAAAATATTAAATAATTTATAATGGGAATAAATTGTTATTTCAATGTCCGCATTGCATTAAGCTTCAATCTGAACAAGAACTCTTTTTATCTTCAGTCGCACACGCACTTGCCACATTCGATGAGGAAGATTTTGCACCACCAGGTTCGACTGCAAGGCTTTCCGAGTGGGCAGCCTTCTGAGGGTGAGTTGATTGATAGGTAGGTGAGTAAGCAAGTGTGCGTGTGTGTATGTAAATAAATGAACGCGTGATCGACTGCGTAGTGTCTGTGTGAACGTGTTTGTAGTGTTTGTTAGGTGTGTGAGTGAATGAGTGTGGGTGAGTGTATGGTTCAATTGGTTGTTAAATGATTGTTTGAAACACTTTGAATAAAATTAAAGCAATCTTCTAACGAGTTTAACATGTTCGAAAGATTTTGCTCCATACAATTGTTTTAAACATATGATTTGTAATATTTATCTCCATACAATTTTTATTAAAAACAGCTTCACTATGATATATCAATAGCGAGAACAAATTACATTGAATAGCAAATTAATAAATACTTCCTATATTGTGTAAATTCTTATGTAAGTTTAAATAATCTGCAATCGTAACTACGGACCAACCTCCAGTATTCCGCTTGTCAACATTGACATCTAGTTGGGAACTGACCGCAACCAGCAACATGATGGTCACTATCACAAATATGGCAAACTTCATTTTTCAAATTTAAAATCCTGATCCTGAAAATTTTTTAAATATACTCAATAATTCAAAAGTTATATAGTTGGTATATTGTAATACTTGAAGAACTTTGATGCTTTCAACCGGTTTTATAATTTGTTTTTTCAGGTTATTGTCCTGAGCTAAACTGACAAAAACCACAAATATATTCATCAATTTGTTTAGCTTAAATTAATTTTAGATCGCAAATTTTTTTTGTTAGCGTTCAATAACACGTGGCAAGCCGTGTTGCACAGCTGTTTAAATTCAATTGATATTGAACTATAATAATAGCAAATAAAAATAACATTAAAAATAATAGCAAACAAAAATAACATTAAAAATAAAAATTGCAATATCAATGATAATAAATAATAATAATTATTAATATTATAATTATAATTACATTAATAAATATGAAAATAACAATATTAAAAACAGATAGTGTAGCTCGATACAGTAGCGTTTTGTCTGTCAAGAGCGGACATTTTGAAGCAAGATACACAGATGGCGTATGAGGTTCAAATTGGCTTTAAAGGTCTCAGAGAACGAACATTTTAACACACATCATTGGCTTTTCTACAAAAATGCACAAGAGAAGTGATCATCATTTTCAGTAATTTTCTTGTTAGTTAAACTCAAGTTAGATGCAATAAGACGTAGTTAGTTAACGTTTTTTTGTGGAAATCCGATTTTCTTTTTACTAGTCTGGGTAAGTGGTCTGTTAGGCCCTCTGGATAGTTTTGTGAATAAAATATAAATAAATTTTAAAAGCTGCTCTCGGGATAAATATTTCAATGTATGGATGAAATTTTGCTTCGTCTACGATGAATTTAAAACATTTGAGTAAATTCTTGATAATGGTAGGGGGGAAAAAACGAGGTGCTCCAAACGTTTGGTGTTCCTTCAAGATTCGCTCCAGGATTCAACCTTCATGCATACTTGTAACAATAAAGATTGAACAATTTGAAAATTGAATTAAATACAGATTTCAGTTTTCAGATTACGGTTTCAGATTTCATTTCAGTTGGTCATTTTAAATAAACTTTGTTTCCTAATAACAATTACTGTTTCAATTGTTTCCATGCATTCCTTCATTTAATGTTTTATTCAATTATTTTTTTCCTAATTTATAAAATTTACATTATTTGGTACGTTTTTGTTTACTTATTAATATAATATCATTTCTTTTTTAATAAAATTTTTCAATTAAGATGAATCTTCCACACATACAAAATAATTACGTTAAAAACAACACGCTATTTATACAAATGTTTGATTTATTCCGACGTTTTGATTGTTTAGAAATTTCACATCAGTATAATAGTAACTTTTAAAATACATGATCTGACAGAATTTCGGGAACTCGGATTTTCATTCAAATATTTTTTTACCAGTCTTTCAATCATTATTGTACTCGTTGTATGTGTTGTTATATGCCTGAAAAAAACCAGTATGAAAAATTTTAATTTTTACAGAATAAATGCAAATAGGATTTATCGTTTTTGTTAAAAAATAAATGAAAAATTGACGTATACAATGTGTGGGTTGAGTGACGATGGATGAAAAGTTATGAACAATCATAGAGGCAATGAAAATGATTGGATAATGTTGGTAATTAAAAAATAATAAAAGTATAATCACGAAATGGGAAAGATGTTTGGTTGAAAAAGAAAAAAAAATTTCACTGGTAAAAAATCATTTTTTATATCACACCAATTTTTCGTCAAAAACGGTGTTTTCCGCTAAAACCCGTCCGTTAAAACAATAAGTTTTCCTCACTTTTAATACAAATACACAGCAAGGTTTCCCGGATTCTCTTGGATCCCAAACTGAATAGACTCCTTCCTAGAATAAAATAGAATTAGTTAATTTTATTTAATATAACCTAACTTGATAAAAAAAAAACAAATTAGAGCCATTGAAGTTAAAAACATAAAGTACATAAAAACTGAAGTTGTTATTCGTAATAAAAAACGCTTTCAATGAAACAAATAAGTAAAATAAAGAAATCTAATGTTAACACTCACGTTCTTAAAGAAGCTAATTCTAGCAAAGGCGCCGGTTGTTAATAATAATTGATTAATGCGTTGGTCGATAGGATTCTTGAGTAACTTGTTTGAAGGAAGCTTCAAACGTAACTCGCAAATTCATTTTCGATGAATTGCGTTCGATGAACAAGAGAACCAGGCTCTTTAAACATTATACCTGTTTGCCGTCTGATGGTGCATGATAATAAACTAAGAGAAACTTTTTCTTCTTGTTATTAATTTAACGTAATATTATTCATAAGAGATATAAACATCAGCATTTGACAACGAACGCAACAGATCAAACTAAAATACAAATAAGCAAAATTTAATTAGAAAAAAAACTCAGATAAACACCGATAGCCTCCTTATGTTGAAAGCTATCCAACTTCAGAAGAAGAGAAAGAAGAAGAGGAAGAAAAAGAATGTAGTACATGTAATGAAGCTGATGGCTCTTCAAAGATTGTGATGATGATAAGATGGTGGCCTTCATTGAGTAAAAATGTTCTGCATAAGTAGTACAAAATTACTGTTAAAAATATTGAAAAGCGCAATCGCAAACTTCCAAAAGCTAAAAATTCGGTAATAAATAAATAAATATATATATATATTTATATAATAAAATTTTAATATAAATACAATTTTTTGTGGTATTTGTGCTTTAATGAGTTTATTTCAATATCTTGTTTTTTTTACCCAATGTCTTTTATTATAAAATATGTTTACGTTGTGGCACTCGCGACAATACTAATATTTCTTATTACTGTTTATTTCGCTGAAAACTTCAAAGTTGGACGAAACTTTTTAGATTCTTCCCCAGTAACACCTCCCGGGTCAAAATACGCTTCCCTGGACGCGTGTACATTCAATTCCAGAAGAACAGGTAACTTGATGTTTGCACTGGCTGGTCTGCTGTTTGTAGCACAGAACACCCGGCGAAATCCAATTCTACCCACAAACATACCTTACGGATGGATGGATGATTATTTTAACACTTCATCTATTCAACGTCTCCCAAATGAATTTGTCTACGATGCGAATAAAACCGTCGTTCTGAAAGAAAGATTTGGTCCATTTGTTTACGATCCAATTTTCGAAAATCCTCACAAAAATTCTACAGTGGAAAGTAAAGAAATAATTCTTCTATGCGGTTATTTTCAAAATTATAAGTATGTTGAAAAAATTGATAAGAAACTGAAAATGATTTTCACGTTCTACAATGAAACTCAGTCGAAAGTACAAAACTTCATTGATCATCATAAAAAAACAAGCGCTAAAAACCGCTCGAATGTAGCAACCGTTGGCATTCATATAAGGAGAGGTGATTTTTTGATTAAGTTTCATCGAAATAGAGGGTTTGCAGTTGTGGATGAAAATTTCATAAATTCAACAGTAAATTATTTTTACAAATTGTGGACGGCAAAAAATGTAGAATTTATTTTATATTTTATTGCAAGTGAGGATGAAGCCTGGGTAAATTCAGTTGTTAAAAAATTAAACTTTGCTAGGGCGCTAAACAAAGCCGCATTCGTTTTTTCAACTTCGAATGGAGGCCCTTTTGACATGTGTCTCATCTCAATGTGTGACGGTGTCATCACGTCATCAGGCTCGTTTTCATGGTGGGCTGGCTGGCTGGCCAACACTACAACCATTTATTTTACTGGCTACCCGAGGAAAGGGTCTGCTCTGGGTGAAGGTTTTGACAGGAAGACGTATCAAAAACCTGACTGGATAGGATTTCCTCCAGAAATTTAATTCGTTTAAGCAAGAATTTGTATTTTAGATTAAATATATTTTTATTTGAATTAGCACAAAAAGATTATCACTTTTAATGTACCAAAATTATTATCGCTTCAAAATTACATTGTTATTATTTACGAAAATTAAATTTCAATTTTATGATGTAATTACAAAGTCATGCAAATAAAATCATTACAATAATATAAATTTTTTTTGTTTTGAAATCATTCCGTGGTTCCATCAATATAAAAATTTGATTTTTTTTTATTTTTATCTTTTTTCCGTCTCTATTTATGAACTATATTTGAGAAAAAAAGCTTTATTTTGTTTTGTAATTAACTGTATTTCCGAAAAGTTAAATTTTATTTCGTAATAATATTATTTTACGTACAAAATCATTAAATCCTGCCCAACAGTCTTTCACCTAACATTACAACCGTTTTAAGTTTTATAAAATAATGAAATGTGAAGGTTCGAAGACTATCCATACACTAACCTGCTTTTTGATCTATTAGTGCTTAAATGTCAGGATCAAACAATACCTACATCTCTTTCAATGATCGTTAATTAAAAATCTAGTGATAGTCCTTTATTGATGTTTCTCTGATTTAATCTGTTCTCTAAAATTGTTAAAATCAGAATAATTTTTCACAAAACATTTTATGGGGCCCAACGATTTTAGCAAGGGCAGCCATTAGCTAAAAAAGCTGACGATCTTTTTGTTGCTTCTTAAATTTTTTTAGTTTACAAAAAATACTTTTTATGCATTCTGACAAAGGGTATATTGATAAGTATACAGTCTAAAAATATATGCTAGCTAAACTTAGCATATATGCTGTGGGCAGATACTGGAGGTAGGAACTTCGTGTATGAATTGTTGAACGTGAGGTTCAGCAGCAGTCGGGGTTTACAAGGAGGCTTACAAGTCAGGTTCGATGCGAAGTCGTAAATGTGATTTATATAGTTGCTTCGAATAGTTTATTGTTTCTATAATATTACTGTTGGTAATCAAATGAACAATCAACACAGAATGACATCATCCAATCCGGACCGGCCTATCAAAAATCTTGAACCTACGGAATAACGAACACTTGACGATCTTTGGAAGCTACAACACTGGTGTTTTAAATATGAATATCTTTTGAAGTGTAATAAGATTGGTGTTGGTACTTACGAAGGTGCAATGGATTTACAACAATATATTTTCATATATCGATTATCCATGGTTACAACAATTAGTGGCCCAAATTTCGAAAAACCGTGTGCGTATGCCACCGTAATTTTTAATTTTCTGTAATTTCCTGGCAGGTTTTACGAAAAATTTTATGATAAGCCTATCCAACTGTCAACATATGCTTGGACGCTTTTTTATCGTTTTTGGTATGCTTATCAGAAGCCTACCAATAAATATACCAAGTGTTTGTTAAAAATAGTTGAAAATGGTTTGAGATTAAAAAGCAAATTATATATATATATATTTATATATTTATTTATATATATGTATATATGATCAAGGAAACATACTGCTAAAAAGAGTTGAGAATAGTTTTAAATAAAATAAATTGAATATATATATATATATATATATATATATATATATATATATATATATACATTCAAAAAAACATACTGTTAAATATACTGGTGAATTTATATATATTTATATGTACATAGAAAGAGAGAGAAAAAAGAGAGAGGTCTGTTAAATTTGATTAGTGATTCAATATTTAAAAAGAGGCCCAGTTTGTTTGTTTAGAGCAGTGTAGGTGTACCTAGTCTTAATAATTTTTTAAACCATATAACATGCAAAGGTATTTTTGTTTAAACCGATTAAGCGATTGCACCGAACAGTTCAAAGCAATTACAATAAAATCCTTTGCGAAACGTACATTCCCGTAATCAATCATCCTCAACTGAAGATTGCAAAACGGAACTGAAAAGAATTAAAAAACATCATCCATTGAAAACAACATTCAAAATGAGGCCACAGCAAAATAACAATATATTCAAAAACAACATTGACTACGACATAATCCTATATTATATAAATCATACGTCAAGGGCTCATAAAATAGACTAAGTTGTACTTTAACAAACCGTAAAAAGAAACGTTATACCAATCAATGATACTAATAAAATTAAACTCAGGATATATTTACAATAATTGTAAAACATCACAAGTGGTCCTAAAGAACAACTGCACCCCTAAAGATGATTCATATATATTCAATTTGTTTTTATATATATCTATTTTTAACAAACATTTGGTATATTTATCGGTAGGCTTCTGATAAGCATTATAAAAATTGTAGTATAACAAAAAAGATAAGAAAGCAATCAAGCATATGTTGACTGTTGGATAGGCTTATCATAAAATTTATTGTAGAACCTGGCAGGAACTTACAGAGTGAGAATTGAAAATTACGGTGACAAAATTTTGGATTTCACTACTTCACCAATTTGAAGTTGAATTTGATTAGTGGTGGTCATAAATAATATTCGAGTTTTGTCTCTCTTGAAAATTTTTAGAAAAAATTATTTTGAACTAGAATAAATAAATCGTGCAAAAGACTTCAATGGAAGTATTGATAAAATAACTCACGTAAAATTAGAGAAGGATGAGTATGCATGATCAGATAATTTTATTTATCTACCGGTCTTCAACTTTTTTAACAAATTCCCATTAAAACCCCAGCAACAAATTTTTTGGCATCTCCATTGAATGGCTGTGAATGTTAACCTAGAAGAACAGAGAAAAATTTGAATTAAACAATAATTGATAAGCAGTGAACAACATAATTGTCTTTTTATGCGTTCTTTTCATATCATATCACAAAGTGCTTTCTTGAAAGAGCCGTGTCTAGTAAAGCGTAATTATGAAACACGAGGAACCACACCGCAAACTGACGTAAAAATTTTACAAATTGAAAACTAATTATAATAAGTAGATAACGTCTCTATATATATATGATATTCCATACGTACATTCTATTGTTAACAGTATCTTAAAAAAACATGTTGTGAATTAGTTACACGCAGGCTAGCGCACACACACGCGCGCACGCACACACGTAGATTAGTTGTTGGTGATTTTACAATGGCGGGAAATTTAGTTTTGAACGATTTACCATGCGACTTATGGTCCTGTAAGAATAATCCGGAAAAAAGTGACTCACTTGAGGAAATCATTAACGAAATCATTTTTATTGGATGATGCACGTACTATAAAAATAAAATATTTTGTTTTTGGGCTGACAATATCGCAGATTGATGCAAAGAAAAAAGTCCAACCATAATTTATTGATGCTGCTTCAAACTGGGCTTTATAGATGGCGCTTTCAATATCTTCGCGGTCACGTGGCTAGCAGGTGTGGAGTTTATATTTTAATTTCTTCCATTCTTGTTTAAGTTTATCTATTTCGCAAGATAACTTCTGGTCGAGCCCCGATAACTTTCTGATCAAATTTCTGTTCAATTTTTGACGTTATGTTTTCCATTCTTAACATTTGGTTTTCTATTTTTGCGATGATAACGGCCGATAGTTGTCCAGTTTGACGTTGAATTGATCTCTGAGTTTTCTCAACTGTTGTATCATTTTCGCTGCCGACTGTTGTTCAATTTTCGCATCAATTGAATCTCTCGTTTGTTTTATTCTGTTGACTGTTTTTCAATAATTTGTTGTTTTGTTTCTGCTGATATCGTTAAAATTAGTGCTATCAATTCGGTGTTTGCCTCAGCATTTACAACTGCATTTGATTCAACATTCTGATCGCCAAACTTAAATTCATCTGGATTTTTATTTTCGTTTATAAGAGCTTCCGTTAGGCGTGCTATCAAAGATCCACTGTTTCCACTTGTGGCAAGATTTCGTTTTTGTAACTCTTCTTTAAAGTGAACCAACTTTAGTTGAAATAGTTTTGTCATCTTGTTTATGCAAAATAACTTGCCGGCGAAAAATTGAAATATTTCAACAATGCCCACTTATTTTCGACCGAAGATCCCACGTCTGACACCGCTGTTATAACTGGCCGGTTCGTTTGATGAAAAATAAAGACAATATAACTTTTAAATTATGGATTTATTTATTAACAAATCATTAGCCACTTTATTTAGTCCAATAACGTTTATCGCAAATAAAGTAATCAAACATAACGACGTCAATTTTTGAAAAAATTTAATTTTTAGAACAAGATCAAAATTATTGTACTTTTAAGCAAACTGTATGCAAAATTGCCAAGTAATTTTGTGAATAATTTAATTTCCTACAAAACTTTGCGAAATAATTTTATAAATAATTCATTTTCTCACTAGACTTTCAACAGGTAAGCAGTTGTTGGCAAACAAAGTCACGAAATCTACTCTATTCAATTATACAATATTACACGCCCGAATTTCTGCCTTTGATAAACTCCAAAAAACTTGCTTGTGATTTAAATAGATCCCATATTTGTACGGAGTCTGTGTAATACATCTTAATTTAATAATGTTATTAAAACCGAGATTTCAACTCTAGTAAATTTCCCAATTTTTCTATTTTCGGTTTTTTCAGTATTTTTCATATGAAAATTCAGACTTAGAAAAAATACAAGAACCAATATTTTTGTTATACTGGAGTCATTATTAATAAATTAATGGAAACTTCTTTCATATGAAAAAAATTGACATTGTCAACAAAAAATAAAAAACAAATTGTTAATAAGAAAAGTAAAAATTGTTAATGATTTAAAATCATTATGAAGTCTTTATAAAGATTTTGTCATAAACTAGCACTATGAATGTTGAATGAATATATTGAGTGTATCACCTAGCAATGGTGGTCGTTTAAGGCATTTTATCAGTCCTTTAAGATCGGAGACGAGACCAAGCGTGGATTCTTCTCAGGAAAACTGTGAGTTCTAGTACGTACACGTTTCTATTTTCCGTTACGCAAATGTCCGGGCGATATGACGGTTTGAAAATATTAGAGATTGGTTTAACTTCAGTCGTAATTACACCTGCAAACGGTTTTGATTGGG